TTTGAGTCATCCAGAAATTAAAATTTGGTCCAAAAGTCAGCTGTTGTAGGAAACCAGCTCTTAATGTTTATCTTAAGTATTTATTTAAATAGAGAAAAAAAACTAACTCTTAATATCCTTCAGCTTGGAATAGTAATAAGCTTTCATGGACTTCCTGTGCTCGTTTAGCATGAGCATTCATCATGCTAGGTGGCTACAACTGAAAAACCGTGTGCCAAGCCTCCAACAAGCGCAGTTTGTTCTTTCCTTTCCTGGATATTGCTTCTGTTTCGGTTCAACAGTCCAGAACTCTGGGAGTAAGAAAGGATCCTGACGTTCAGTCTTTAGAGACAGTATATTTAGCACCACACAAAGCATTGCCCTGGTAGGGGTTTGTAGGAGGCCAGTATGCTTTTCCTGTGTTTTGGGATTAAGCTGCACCTCACAGCTGGATATGAAAAACTTCCAGGAAACTTGTATGAATGGAGAAGGTGGAGCTTTCTGTGGCTCACCGAATGTAATTCAGTGTTTGGCAACATCTTTTTTCCATTCCTCTTTTCTCGTGTATGGGTCTCTGAACAGCCCCAATGCATCAGCTTTTGAGGTGTCAACAAAGCCATCTGGAGGCTGTGGCACCAGTTAGCCAGGGTTGGCAGGCTGCCATCAACAGTTCCAGAATCTCAAATTGGACTAGTGTGTTGGGGAGAGGAGACAGAGGACAGAGGTTTTTTTTTTTCCTCCACTTGTAAAACTTTATTCTAGGCATATTCCAATAAAGAATGGCGTGCTGAAAGGAGATGTGACACTCGGGCAAGTGACTTCTTATTCAGAACTTGCCAAACAGAGCTGCATTTCAAAGAACCCCCCTGGGACTGTCTAAAAAACAAACTACTGGAAGTATCTTGCTTGGCATTTCACTTTTGTCACATACCTATATGCTGTTTATTAATAGCGTGCTATTTTGTAATGATTTCCAGGACAATCTACAAGAAAAACAAAGCAATTCATAATTAAAGTCTGCTTACAATAAAATTCAAACTAGCATGCCCGAAATACCTAATCCACCGAGGTAGATCAGGTTGACCAGATACAATAATAAAAAGGTTTCCAGAACATTTTTAAAAATTGAAAAATAGCCTTTCTGTTTGAGGTCTATGGAGATTCTCAATCATCCAGATCATGGTTGTCCTGAAGATGCTTTTCCAAAAAGCAACTGGACTTTCGGGGGAGGGGGGTGCTCATTTGAAAACATTTAGCTTTTCATCCAAGAAGCTTCTTTAATTCTTCAGTTTGCTTCTCAGAATTGAAGAAGCTTTTTGGATGAGAAGTAAAACATTTTCACAAACACACAGAAAGGAAGGAAGGAAGGAAGGAAGGAAGGAAGGAAGGAAAGAAAGAAAATGGAAGGGAAGGGAAGGAAAGAAAAAAGAAAGACCAGTTGTCTTTTGGAAAATACCTTTGGGGCTTTCTGTTGGACCTAGCTACCCTAAACAGGATCCATGCCAATGCACTGTTATAAGCAGGAATTGGTTTATCATCAGACCGAGCCACAGGCTACAAATCATGTCTGAGTTCTTCATACACACATTAAAAGTCAAGTCCATAATTGTTTAGTGGAACAGGTAAGCCTGACCTGTATGACTGCCATGACATGAGTTCTGGAGTTCTCCACTATTGGTGCACCTTGTACTGCCCTTACTATATAGAGAGTAAAATATCTCAGGGACCTTCAAGCCATGGAAACCCTTTGGCCTTGGTAGGATGCTGGACAATGTATGGAAGCTTCTAAATTTATTTATTTATTTTTATTTATTTATTTATTTTTGTCAATTGCTTACAAGATAATAGGTGTAAGTATATACATAGTTATGAATACATGAAATGGTCACATATAAGAAAAATAAAAAACAATAGGACAGGGACAGTAGGCACATTGGTGCGCTTATGCACACCCCCTACAGACCTCTTAGGAAGAAGAAACCACAGAGTCAGGTAGAGTATTCCAGACGTTGACCACTCTGTTGCTGAAGTCATTTCCTCCTGCAATTCTTTAAACCTATGCATATTCAGGAAAGTTTCAAGCCTCAGAAGATATAGCAAGGTTTATTTCTGTGCTGAATTGAATAGACTTGTTAATCCCTTCTCATTAAAAACTGGCTTCTTTCAGTTGTTGAAGACATATGGTGGTGGGTGGTGGGGCCTTTTACGTTGTTTTTGTGGAACAATACTGCATTTGAAGAAACCCAAATTAGGAAAATGAATTCATCCATATGAGATATCCTAACTAATAATGATGCAATTCAGTATGAGCGCTCACATTTAAATTGCACCCACCATATCTGCTGGGATTCAGAATTGCTTTTTAGTTAAAAATGTGGCCAAATGAAAAGCATGCATTCATGTTTCACCTACAAAATGGGGTTATACTGTATGCAATATTGTGTATATTCATTTAATAGAGAAAAATGTATGACTAATGGAGAAGGCAGTCTAATTACAACATATGCAGACATACTTTATCATTTGGGCCTTTGTATATATGTATAAAAATAATGCTTCAGAATTCCAGAGCCATGTCATTTAATGCCACTAAGCACATTCTCCTTGACATACCATTCCTCTTGGCCATTGGCCGGCTCCCCAGGCACTTCAATCACAAAGAACCCTTAGCACTTTAAACGTTCAGCTGCCTGGCTCCATCCCCACCACTTGCTTTTTCTTCCAACAAGCAACTGCTTGCATAATTCTTCCAAATCAGTCAGCAGTTGAGCAAACACAGGGTGGAGGGGAATCCACCCAGCCTGTGCTCACCTGCTTGTGCCAGCTGCTGTTGCCTACTGCATGCAAAGCTCAGGACCCCCCATTTCACCCATCAGATGGAAGATTTTCCTCCTGTCGCAAATCAAGTCCTACCAGAATTCCAGACTTGCTCAAAAGGCCTTTTGTAGGAGATAAGGTTGAGCGCAGACAAGGCAAATCTCCATGGATGCTCCAGCTGCTGTTATTTTATCATAGGAATGCCTCATTTCCTGAAGCCCTAACATATGCTTTGGGAGAACGTAGGTAGCTTGCACTGGGTGGATCCAAGTGAGAAACCATGGCAAGGGCAGCCTGAGTTTGTAGCGAGCCAGGCTATCTTAAGTTTTTTGAAACTTCCCTTAGAAAAAAGGGGAAACTGAGCCACACGGTCCACATCAGTACATTTACCTATTCACCTCCTTCTCCTCCTCCTACATTCCAATCTCTTCGTCTCACAAACTTGAATTATCATAGGTCAGTTGAACCGGGCAGAACAGCTTCCATCTTATGTCAAGCATCACTCAAATTATTTGAGCAGGAAAGAATAAAATAACTGAACAAGGAGTGTTAGTGGCCCTCTTGAAAAGTCCACAAGCACTTTCATGCTCACTAACGTCAACACTGGAAGTGAGGTTGGCAAAAGTATGCAGAGCCACTTCAGGTTTAGAGACCTCAAATCCTACTTCGCTGACTCCCTTCAGATTCTCGGGTCATTTTCCACTATTGATTTCAAGCATTATCCACAGCTCTCAAAACTGTCATCATAAAATTGGCTTTCCATTTTGCTGATCCCTTCCTCTCGCAACTCTCTGCTGAAACATGTCCAGTCCTGGAGGTTGGCCAATAATGATAAAGGCAGTTTCCCACTCTTAACTTCACCGTTGTCCCCCTTGAGCATTGTCACCCATGACTTGGGAGACTGCAAGCAGGTGGAGCAGGTCCAATCTAATTCTGCAATTCTGCTATTTCAAGATACCATCTGGGTACCTCTAGGGTGATTTGTCCTTCCTACAGCCCATTGGATACCTGGGAGAATAATCATTTTCCAGGATGTCAATGGGGTAGAGCCATCTGGATTTCACGGGGGAATATCATTGCAGGAGACAGCACTATGATAGAGAAGGAATATTTCCTGGGTCCCATTAGGTGGGATTACTTAATTGATGAGATCTAGAACATGCTCATTTTTACTGATTTTACCTCTGGGAAAAAAACAGAAAGAGACTTTCCTTCAATTAACTGGGCCCTGTAACATGATGAGCTGCATAGGTGATAACAGAATTTTGAATTGCACCAAAAAAACCCAACAACTGAGTAGTAACCGGTGCAGTTCATGG